GTGACCTACCCATGCGGCAGGGGGTCGACAACGCCCTCGCCGAGTACGAGATGCGACCCTGTGCCGGGCTCAGCGGAGCCACCCTGCGCCTCGGAAGAATGGAGGCGGCCAGTTCGTCGTCATGTGAATGATATGGATGCCTGCTTCGGGCCTCGGGGCCCAGGGGGTGTTCCTTCTTATCATCCTGGTTCCATTGTGTTTATATGTGTATATATACATATATATATATATATATATATATATATGTGTGTGTGTGTGTGTGTGCTTGCACGGGAAAGTGAGGGGTATTGCTTCGGGTGATGTCTCCTAGTTGCCATAATCTATGCTCAAGCCTCTCTTCTCTCGTCAGAGGCGCCCATGGGACCTGCCGACGGCCGGCCCCCGATCGCGGTCCTCGCGGTGGCCCTCGCCTGGGCTGGCTGGAGCGCCGCCGAGGTCGGCCTGCTGCCCGAGGGTCTGCTGGGTGTTGGCGGGCCGCCGCCCCCGCCGCCGCAGCCCGACGCCGACGCGGTGCTGGGCGGTGGCGATCCCGAGGGCTCGCCCGCCTGGCTGGAGGCGGTGTGCCCAGTGGTGCCCCAGTGCCCAGCCTGCCCGGCCTGCGTCTGCCCGCGGGTGGAGCTGCAGGGCCCGTCGCCGGAAGAGCAGGCTGTGTGGCTGCTGCTACCGCCCGTGCTCACCAACCTCTTGGGCGTCGTGGTGGGCCGCTGTTGCGTGCGAGGCCGATCCGCTGCGGTTAGGCATGGCGCGCGTCCCGCTCGACGTGGAGGCGGAGTGGTACAGTGAGCTGGCTTTCGGCCAGTACGGGGCCGTGGAATACGACGGCGACGGCGTAGATCACAATAGCAGTTTGCTCCATCTTCTCGGCGATGACGTTTGGTGGACCGGTGGGCCAGACGGCGATGAGTTTTTCCAGGACGATGGCTGCCAGGGCTATTCGGACGACACCGTGTCCGCCAGAGTGGTGCATCTGCCAGTCGAGGTAGGCGGCGATTCGCGGTTGTGGCTCGATGAGTGCCTTCGAGAGATGGGTTTGGCCACCACGGATCGTGCCGCCCACGTGTCACGTTGTATATGCGAGGAAGGGTATCTGGCGTACGGCTGCGACCAGGTGAGTCTGGGTGCTCTGACGGCGCTGGAAGTTTGGTGTGGGCGACTGGTAAGCTTCGTGGCGGCTCACGCTCATCCGCACGTCGTGCCATGGGAGGTGGCGAAGTACTACGCTGACGTGCAGCCCACCGAGGTCGCTGCAGGCTCAGTGACGTGGGTCCCTGTGGCACGCAGGCTGCACGAGGATTGCGAGGGCTTGCAGGCCCGCTGCGGAGCCCCCTCTCGCGGGCTGGCAGGCGGCCCAGGCGCAGGCGGCGGCGGCGGCAGCGTGGGCAGCAGCGCTGGAAGCGAGGGCACGGGAGGCGGGGGTGGTCGCGGACGCGGTGACGGCAGCAGAGGCCGAAGCCGCGGTGTCGACACCCCCTGGGGCCCATGACGGTTCCGCCGGCCAGGGGGTCCCCCGACCCTGGTCGGCTTCAGGGGGCTGGCGGCCGCCCCAGACTGGCGGCCTCGCGGGGGCAGCGAAGCCTCTTTCCGCTCCCTCTGGTGCCGTTGGATTCGGTGCGCCCGGGGCGCGGCAGTGATCGTCTTGTGATGGTGAACGACGCGCTGAAAGCACTGAATTGGATGGCAGGCTGGAAGGAGTTTTTGTTGGCGAATCGCGGCCCAGACGGCCTGCCCGATGACGTGCAGGCGGACGTCCAGCGGAGGGTGCGTGAGTTGGTTGATAGCTGGTACCCGCGCCCTCCGCCTCTCAACGACGAGGCGGCCCTCAAGAAGTTGCTTCAAGGACATTCCCCATATCAGGCTGCGGGGTGTCCGACAAGGGTCACGTCCTTCAAGCTCGACCTCCTGAGCCCCCCTGGCTCTGATCACGGACGTGGCGCCCTCAGAGGTTATCGGATTTCTGGAGGACTATCACGAGCGCATGCTGGCGCCGCCCGTTGAGAAATGCGAGACGGCCCCCTACTTCGATCCCAAGCTACGTTTTAATCAAAAAGAATATCATCGGCTCCTCCGCCGTTTGGCGGACATTGGCATCATTACTTGGACCAGTTCCCCGAAGTGCAATGTGGGTCTCTTCACGGTGGAGAAGGATGGCGGCGCAGCCCAGAGGTTGATCGTCGACGCCAGGCGGGCCAATGAGTGCTTTCAGGCGCCGCCCGGGGCGTCGCTCCTGAGTTCGGAGGGCCTGTCGTGAATTGAGGCGGAGCTGCCCGCTAGCGCGCCGCTGGGGTCCGAACAGGCCGCAAAGTTGTTGGAGGACTTCTGCCTCTCGATCGGCCTCTCGGACGTCTCGAACTGTTTCCACAGGTTGCGCGTGCCAGCTTGGCTGTCTGACTATGTCTGCCCCCCTCCTGCGCCGGCTCACGTGATGGGCGCGGCGGGCGCCGAGGTTGACGGGCGTGTTCTTGGCCGCGCGGAGGCAGCGACACCGTGCTGGGCTGTGCTCCCCATGGGCTTCACCTGGAGCCTATGGATCGCCCAGATGATCAACGAGACCACCGTGACCAAGGTGACACCCTCTCTGCCTGGACCCCCCCTGCACGATCGCGGACCGCCGCCGGTGGTGAGACCTGCCCTGGGGGAGGAATGCAACACGCTCAGCCACTATGTGTATGTAGACAACCTCGGAGTGATAGGCGTCTGCGAGGCCGCAGTTGGCGACGCGCTCGAGCAGTTGGAGGAGGGCTTCAACCGCGAGGGGCTGCTGCTGCACAAGTCGGAGCGCTCACACGGCGGCGCCGTCGCGCTCGGCACGGAGCTCGACGGGGCGGCGCTGCGGACGCGCGCCACGCCCAAGCGATTCTGGAACATATACCAGGCTTTGGGCGCGCTGCTGCGGCGCCGGCGGGCCAGCGCGCGGGCGCTCGAGGTCGTCTTGGGGCACTGCGCGTTTGCCGCCTTGTGCTGCCGAGGCCTGCTCAGTGTTTTCCATTCGGTGTATGCCTTCGCGGAGCGGGGCCGCGCCTCAGGACGGGCAGAGCCGCTGTGGGGCGAGTGCCGCTCCGAATTACAGGCCTTCAGGTCGCTAATGATCTTCATGTTCAGTGACTGGCTCCGAAGCTGGAACGACCTGGTGGTCCAGACCGACAGCAGCCTTGAGGGGTGCGCGGTGGCGCAGGCGCTCTGGCCTTTGCAGGCCGTGCGCGAGGTGGGTCGCACCTCTGAGCGCCAACGCTTCCGCCGAGTGGGCTCCCATCGGGCTCGAGAGAGCGCCCTCGAGACGGCGGGCTTCTGTCGGCAGGCGGACGGAAGCTGGACAGTCGCAGCCGCCGAAGGGTTTGATGAAGAGAGTGGTGCTTCCGAGGAGGCGTCAGACTGGGAAGTGGATCAGTCTTTTCCCGAGGTGCCCGCAAATCTTCTGAAGTCAGTTTTGCGGCGACTGGTGAGAGTGCAAAAGTGGCAACGTTCTGAGGAAATTCTGGTGAAGGAGGCTCGTGCTCTTGTCAAAGGTTTCATTCGTGTTGTAACTAGCTCGCGAGTGTGTGATATGAGGCAGCTTTTGTTGTGTGACAATATGTCGGTCACCCTCGCCTTCGGCCGTAGTCGCGCCAAAAACTTGCTGCTTCTCGTTCGGACTCGCGTCTTCCAGGCTCGCTGCTTGGCCAGGAATGTCGCAGGGGCTGCGCGTTGGATCCCATCCGAATTGAATTTATCGGATAAGGGCGCTAGGATTTTTGAGAATAGCAGCGCCAGTAAGACGTTAGTGGATGAAATTCCTTCGTTTTTGAGTGTCGAAGGCAACAATTTAAAGGAGACTTCGAAATGCCCGCAATCCCCCAACCTGCGCAGTAGCTGCTGATGCTTCTGTCTCCCCCCTCTCCCGTTACGCAGGCATTTCGCCTCCACGCTTACCGCGCACTTTCTGTGATCATCCAGATTTCACGAACCAGAGAGTCGATGGGCCGCCGGAGGCGATCGGCGATGCTGCCGTCGTCGGAGGCTCGGCCGAGCGAGGGCCAGCTGGGGCTCGAGACGCTGGCCAGCCAGAGGAAGGCCACCTTGCGGCCACCAGGCGCCCAGCCGGCGCTGCGCGGCAGGCTGAGTGGCAGGCGCCACGGAAGGGTTCCCTCCGACAACGAGGATCGCCTGACGCCCGCGCCCAGGCTGGCAGACGTCGGCGAGAGCAGCAGCACCAGCGGCGAGGGGAGGCCAGGGCCTGGCGCCGCGCTGGGAGCAGCGCGGAAGCGCACGGGCCGCCAGAGAAGAGAGGACGAGAGCAGGTGATCACCGTCCTGGCGGCCGCGGCCAGGGGCGCCCGCCGCTCCCCCAGCGAGAGCTCGGTGGCGCTGGAGGTGCTGGGGCGATGCCGGAGCCGGTCGGCGGGCTTCGACTCTTCGGAGGGAGAGCGCCCGCGAGTGCACGGCGAGCTGGTCGACGGCATGCGAATGGGGTACCTCAGTATGCTCCTCTTCATGAGCCGGGGCGCCAGCGAGGGCATTCAGATCCTTGCAGGCCTGATGTTTTCGACGGCGGAGCTCTCGAGGGCTGGCCGCTGCGGGCCCCCCCAGGCCTGCCGCTGCCGGAGGGGCTGGCGGCAGGGGGCCCCCGGCCGCAGCTGGCGCAGCTGGTCTCTGACGGTGTGGGCTGGAGTGGCCAGGATGTTGGCTGGCCTTTTCCCTCTGCAGGCCTCGGTCCCGTGGTCGGTCTCGCTGGGCAGCCGCTGGAGGCCGAGCAAGCTGATGAGTCTCAAGGCGCGTGGTACGAAGGCGGTGGCATCTCCCTTTCCTGGAGCCTGCTGTTCTCCCTCTCACAGCGGATCGAGCGGAGCAGTACCGCCCGCAGCGACGTCAGCATCGAGAGGGACTCGCCGCTCTTGCGGTTCATAAGGCCCGTCCAGAGAGTGATGGCCGATGGGCCGAAGGACGAGGTGGTTCGGACATTCACGTGTCTCCAGAGTCCCCGGAAGCCGAACTTTTCGCGGGGCGAGCCGAGCATCACAGAGACGATAGTGCAGCACCCGAGGCGGCACGCGGGACCGTCGATCGACATCTTCGGGCAGCATCGGA